CTTTCACTGGGCGAGTACAGGTAGAAGTTTTCTTCTTGCCGAGTCGCTCTACTTCCACCTTCGGTTTCTGCCCTATTTCCTCTAAAACCTCGCCGATTCTTAATTTCTTACCTCTAACTCTTCCTGCTCCTCCTCCGGCAAACCGAAAACAAGAAGATTTCGACTACGGTCCTCTTCTGCGACTACGGTCTTCACAACATTTTTTAGGGCTTCTGGGCAGATAACTGGGGCAGTTACCATCTGTGAATTGCTGACAATTGCGCTGTAAGTCTTAATCTCCTCTTTAACTGAATCAGCGACTGAGGTTTCCACGATTTTCTTCATAGATTCCAGTTTCTCGGACTTACACTGAGAGAGCTCCTGCTGAACGCTGATGAGAGTTTCCTGGTTCTGAATCAACTTTGCCTGAAGAGTTGTGCAGCAGTTTCGGTACGACTCCACAGTTTCCATTAAATAGCCAATGTACTCATAAGACCGACTACAAATGCCAACAAGTTCTGGCTTATTCACTGATTTCGCAAACTTCGGATCTGCTATGTCCGTCATCTTTCCGTACGGTTTGCCAAAGTTCCGCAACTGCTCTTTGCTCCAAGAATAAATCTCATCCCACCTGTAGTTAATACTTTCCAAGTCCATCTTTTCCATGATTACAGTTAAAGTTACACAATACAAGACGAGCGACAGGCTGAGCGGTGTCGTGATAACAGTAGAGATAAGCCTTGCGATAAGAGAGCAGCAAATCAGCAGCAAATGTGAATGTGCTATTACTGAACTCATGCACACATATTTTAACATTTAAATTTTACTGCTCAATGACTTCTTTTTTTACTTACTGTATAAAAAATGGATTTAAAAATCATTTGCTGAAATTAAAAAATCGTCAAAAAAATTGAAAAAAATTCGGATTTTTGATGGTTTTGAATGCCTTCGAGCGTTCATATTAATGTCCGTTCATAATTATGTCCGTTCATTTAATGTCCGTCCAAATAAGGTCCGATAAGGTACGTTATATTCCTTCATTAAACACGATCAATAAGAGCTAAGCAAATAAAAATATTTTTGAAATAAAAGATTACAAAAAATTAATAACTTCAGAAATCAGATATCTGTTACACATTATAAACAATTCCAGAAACTATTTGACTTGGTGACCTCGTTTGAAGATATGTACGATGCAGTAAACTCAGCTCTCAATTGTTGGTGGACTTATAAAGCTTCGACCAAGAACCCTGTCATTTACACTGTGGACCAGGATAATGGTTTGCTTATAGTTGTTTTGTAATTTTGTTTCAAATTATTAATTTTGTTTGATTCGCTCTTACTAACACATTGAGAAAACGTGTTTACCTATCACACTCGATTATTAATTGATACTGAACAAATTTACTTACAGAAAACTCAGAGGAAATTGTAGTTCGAGATGAAAGAAGACACATATTAAAGGAAATGTATGAAATGGACGAGAGGGCACTCCAAAAAAGAAAAGCTCGTGTTGAGAGGATTCAAGAAGAAAGAAGGTTGAAGAAAGAAGAAAAGAGGAATAACAAACTGGCTGAGAGGAAGAAGGAAGAGGAGGAGTCGGGTGCTAAAGGGATTGAAGACGCTGAATCTTTTTCATCTTTCAGCGATTCAGATTGACTTTGAGTTTACCTTGTTAAATTCACTTGTTGGATTTACCTCTTAAGTCACATATTCTGTTCGGTATGGTGTTATTATATTCTCATAATTTTTCTGTCGACTGAAGAACACTGTATAAATACATTGGTAAATCATCTTGCCCCAACATTTCATTTGCACAGCTATATCCAATGTCCGCTTGTTATGATTTCATAATGATTCAACTCAATTTGATAACGAACTTACTAGAAATATGGACACAATTTGGTGCAGAATAAAAAACCTAGAGTGTTCTTTGTTTTAATAATAAACAATAAAAAAATTGTAATCCATTATAAATCAAATATAAACAGGATCAAATATAGTTCAAATCATTTGGTGGAAAACGTGAATCACAGTAATAGGAAATCAAAGCAAATAAAATATAAACCCCTTAAAAACCAGTTTCACAAAATCATGAAACTCTTAACATGATTTTATTAATGGTTCTCAACCAGGAGATTGACTGATTGGAATTTGCATTAAAAACCTTCTTAAACTAAATTGTCATTCCTCTTCTAAAATAGCTTAGTCAGGGTCGATGTTTTGTGGCATAAATGGGGCTATGATCACGTCGCAAACCTCAAGCTGAAGTGTTGTATAAACATTAATTTAATCATAAAATAACCTTAATATAAACATAACGTAAACATTAGTCAAAAGGATAGTTGTAAATTGCGGTACAAACTTGATGCTATTGTGCAAGGAATAGCAAAAAGTTCAGCTGTTTCCTTACAAATTGCGACTCCTACCAGTTTTGCAGACCGTTAGTTATATAGTACTTTTAGTAGGGCATTTATTTTAATATATTTTATTTTACATTATTATATTTTAGTGTGACTTCTATAATTTCATTTATCATGTATTTACCATTGATTAATAAATTGCGGCACACGCCAGCCTCCACCGTGGGGTTTCAAAACAAAACAAACAAACCTTTATTAAATGTTGCATTATCTACTATTCTCTGTGTATATGATACAGTGGCTACTGGATATATTTTATTTTGATATTTAGGAGAGGCTGTACCTAAATGGCCCACGAGAGGATAGAATGAGAATTCTCTGCCTGCCTTTGGGGTATCACAACCCTGAAGAAGATTTCCGGGGTTATATATGTGGAGATGAAGTGGCAAGTGAAATGAGGGGAATGAGTAGACACTCAAGTGCCAAAAGGGTGATGACTGATGACCAGAGATAATGAGTAGAGGCAACATGAGAGAGTCTTATGGTTGGTGGGCTAGACAGTGAAACACGCAAATGTAGTGTATACTTCGTTAAATTACATCATTAGCTACAAAGGGATTAAGTTGGTTAGATTTATTAGTACTATATATACGAAGATCTAAAATGCCTCAAACAATCGAGAATCAAATAACCTAAATAAAATACACAAGGTAAATGGAGATGAACTACACAAAAAAAAAAAAAATAGCTTCAAAAATGAAGCTTCAAAAAAGAAGAAATAAAAACTAAGAACCTTATCTTTCAACTTTGCATCTATTTAAACCCAAGCAATTAGTTCTATACTTCTCAATATACCTAAATTCCTCCCTATTTAATCCCCTGGGGTTACATTCTTTCAAAATGGCAAATTTATAGTTGTCAATAGTAAAAATGTCTCTGTGATGTTCATAGGCATGAATCGAAAGGGCTGATTTATTACGATCCTCTACTTTAAAACAGGCTCTGTGTGAGAGAGTTTCTAGGTCACTCCTGCATCTAGTTCAATTCCTCTGGCACGAGAAGTTGTTTAGTGTGATTTGCGAAGTTGAAAATAGTGGTGATATTTTGGTTGTCAAAGATGTCGTTGACAGAGAGGTAATAATCCTGAAAGTATTGTCTTCTTGGACAAATACCGATGGAAAATATTTCGTAGGCCGTAAAACGACTCCTCCAGATCCAGTCTTAAACTTAAATTAGACATATTAAGGGCACCTCTTTGATATTGAGGAGAGATCAACCGTCCTTTTCAGGGAGAGGTATGCTCGAAGTCCTTTGAAGCTTTGATTCTAAGCTGCTCTTTGGGCCAGTTGGTAGATCACCGACCGGCTATAAGCCGGCTACTAACCGGCTATAAGCCGGCTACAATTTTTATAGCCGGCTATAAGCCGGCTTATAGCCGGTTAGTAGCCGCTTACATTTGTTGTTGAGCGACGGCTATTAGCCGGTTATAAGCCTGCTATTAGCCGTTTTGGTATTAAAAGTGGTTATAAGCCGGTTATAAGATATTAACTCAACTACATCGTACTGAACGATAGTCAGGAGCCGGCTATAAGAAATTCAGTGAAAACGGCTATTAGCCGGTTATAAGCCGGCTATTAGCCGTTTAGGTATCGAAAGTGGTTATAAGCCGGCTATAAGCCGGCTATAAGCCGGTTATAAGATATTAACTCAGTTCAGTACGATGAAGTTAAGTTAATATCTTATAGCCGGCTTATAGCCGGCTTATAACCACTTTCGATACCTAAACGGCTAATAGCCGGCTTATAACCGCGGCTAATAGCCGTTTTCGCTGAATTTATTATAGCCGGCTCCTGACTATCGTTCAGTACGATGAAGTTGGGTTAATATCTTATAACCGGCTTATAGCAGGCTTATAGCCGGCTTATAACCACTTTCGATACCTGATTTGATTTGAAACTTTTACAAATAGTACATTATACAATACAGCAAAAGAATTAAAAGTATACGACATTATTATCTAAACGGCTAATAGCCGGCTTATAACCGGCTAATAGCCGTTTTCACTGAATTTCTTATAGCCGATACCTAAACGGCTAATAGCCGGCTTATAACCGGCTAATAGCCGTCGCTCAACAACAAATGTAAGCGGCTACTAACCGGCTATAAGCCAGCTTATAGCCGGCTATAAAAATTGTAGCCGGCTATAAGCCGGTTTATAGCCGGCTTATAACCGGCTTATAGCCGGTCGGTGATCTACCAATTTCCCGCTCTTTGTTAAGCTTCATGCTGCCACATATTGTGAAATGCCGGTTAATAGCCGGCTATTAGCCGGTTTATAGCCGGTTAATAACAGGTTCTTAAGAACTTTGGCAACAAAACACATTTTTTCTGTCGAGCTTTTATTTAACGTGAACGTGAATTGTAAAATGGAACAGAAATAAAACAAGTTTTTCGAAATTATAATATTAATAGTAATAAAAATACACAAAACTAATATATATATGTTGTAAATTTTTTCAATGCATTGTATATATTTGGGTACTATTAATGGGATGACATCCATGTTTTCTGACAGATGACAGCGAATAACTACAAATAAGCTTCTAGTATAATTGAATAATGAAACCCAGAATTGCACTGTCATATATCAAACAAATATGGTTGACCTCTCTACAAATATCCAAATCTTATTGCTCTCTCGACGAGAAATTGTCCAAATCATGCTTCAAATTCGTTTACACCCATCTGCTGTTTTTCTAGTCGACGATATGTTCTCAAATTCTATTCTGAGGTGAAGGGATGTTAATAAAGTAATGAAGCAATAATAAAAATAACTGTTAAATTCATTTGTTCTTGTAATGGGAGCAAAAATCGATGTGAAGTGTTGCGATCATAATTGAGCGGATTTTTATAAACGTGTATAACGGACCAGGAAGTCACTTTTTAAAAGGTAACAATCAAATTTATAGCTAATTAGCGTAATGTGTCTTCGCATCGGTTGATTGAAAAGTTGGTTGAAAAGTGTCGGTCTCTACTATAACTACTTAACATTCAATCAACTAAGAAAGAATTTCTGCCTTTCGTGTTAATACTCACTTCGGCCCTGTTTTCGGCACTGTTTTGTAATTCTGCTTGTGCACCGTCCTGACTTAGAATTACAGCAAGTAGCCCCTTTTGGGTGGTCAGGGTTACACTGACCGGGAGAGCCATCCGCAAGGGGGAACTTCGGACCACATCGATTGTCTCTTCTGTAAGGCAGGACGACCTCAATAACTTCAGGTAGTACCTGAGGTAGTACCTGAGGTACTACATCAATAACTGCAGGAACTTCTGAAGATATTTATAAAAATTAAGTGGCCACAAAAGTCGTAAGGTTCATTGATTCTATTGCCCATATTATCAGAGCGTCAATCTCAATACATCAGTTTATAAACTTTTCTTTTTACACAAAAAGTTTATTTCGTAAGGCGCTGCTCTTATTTCCTTAATAATTATCACTAACCTTGACACCCTACTCCCTCAACTAACCGCTCTCCCGCGTCACATGCCTGGCATTTGTACCACACTAACAGCTGCTTCCACTGACCCCAGCATGGATCAACATAGAATCTATCCGGGCTCGTGTCTAGCTCACATGATCCCTGTGAGAGCAGCAGGTCGTGAGGATGACGAAACGATTTACAGTTTTGGGAGTTAGAAGTTTAGAAGTTGATTCGTGAAGAATTTATAATCAATACTTTTCACGTCCAGTCCTAAAATTGTCTATGATCTCATTAGTTTCAATGATTTATGTCTCATTACGAATTTTCTTCAATGTCTCCAAACCTTAAAACGGCAGTGATCCCTAGTTTTAGGAAAAGCATTTTCAAGTGGAGTACATAACGAAAAATGAGGTGCAAAGTATTTTGCGTTCTCTATCTCTAGGTATTCTCCATCATCACACGACAGGTTTAGAACTTGGTTTTCCCCTATCTCTGCCCCTGGTGTGGAACAATTTTATAATAGTTGTTTTGTATAACAGACTACAGTAAATGTATTGTAAAACTTCTGACAGACCTGATGATTTGAATAAAAAACAGTGTCCCAAATTAATCGCTGTTTGAAGTGTTAAATCGATATTGTTCAAACAGGATGTAAAATTCCGTCAAACTCCCGATTCCTCTTAAAAATTACTTAAAAAATATTGTCTCTACCATTATTACATCATCAAATTTGTTTACTTCATATATTGAATTGATATAGCTGAAATGTTGATACATAAAGTGTATGAAATAATCAGACTTACTCAAAGAACAGTCACTTTCTGAAGTACCAATATAACCCATTGCCACTTCTTTCCCAGAAGGACAGCTAGAACACGATGAAGCACTTCCTCCAGGGCTGTATGTTCCTTCTTCACATAATGTACATCCGTTCTCTTGGTCAATGTAATTGCCACCTTCACAGGGATCTGAGGTTGAAAAAATTATGATCTTATAACTCTACTATAACGGCACAGTCAGCAAATAAAATTAAGTGGCCACAAAAGTCGTAAAGTTCACTGATTCTATTGCCCATATTATGATAACGTCAATCTGAATACATCTGTTTATAAACTTGTCTTTTTACACAAAAATTGTATTTCGTAAGGCGCTGCTCTTATTTTCTTACTAATTATCACTAACCTATACACCCTGGCCCCTTAACTAACAGTTTTCCCTCGTCACATGTCTGGCAGGTGTACGATACTGCCAGTTTCTTCCACGCACCAAAGCATGGATCACCATAGAAACCATTCGGGGCCGTGTTTATCGAACATGATTCCTGTGAGAGCAGCAGGTCGTGAGGATGACGAAACGGTTTACCGTTTTGGGAGTTAGAAATTTAGAAGAATGTTGATTCGTGAAGAATTTAAAATCAAAACTTTTCACACGTCCAGTCCTAATTAAATTGTCTATAATCTCATTAGTTTCAATGTTTTATGTCTCATTACGCATTTTCTTCAATGTCTTCAAACCAGATGATTGCAGTGATCGCTAGTTTTACTAAACGCATCATGTTGATCACTACAGAACCATGAATGAGGTGCCCAGTATTTTGCCTTCACTATCTTTATATGTTCTCCAGCAACACACGACAGGTCTAGAACTAAGTTTTCCCCTATCTCTTCCGCTGGTGAGGAACAATATTATAATAGTTGTTTTGTAAAGGCTACAGTAAATGTATTGTAAAACTTCTGACAGACCTGATGATTTGGAAAAAAAACAGTGTCCCAGATTAATCGCGGTTTAAAGTCGTTTAATCGATATTGTTCAAACAGAATGTAGTGCTTTTAGGAAGCACTAAAAATTCTTCATACGAATTTCAAGAGCGAACAAAATAAATGTACTTATAAAATACATCAAAGAAACGTCTTTCAATAAATTATATAATATGAACTTTAACTTACAGAAGATCTCTGCGTCAGCCAAAGCAATGCCAGCTAACATTGTCAGGGCCATTATCATCGTCATCTGCATCTTGACTAACATAACTTCCTTATAAAATTATAGTGACTAAATTACCACAATATACTATTATAGTACAGTATTAATTTAAATGCGGGGAAAAGATATTATATTATTAGATAATTATCCGATAATTATCAGATGATTATCAGATAATTATTAGATAATTAGGCATTATCAGAGATTCATCAGTTTTGGTCGGTCATAGGCATTTAATAATCGGCAACAAATATTTTATCCACATAAACAGATACATTTTTTCAACGAATCTTTAAGCCAACGTCCTAAGTCCTTGTGGCACTTCACTGTGATAAAACAATAAAATCTGCCGGTTTTGGATGACAGTGGTCTAATTCTCCGTGGCAGCCTTAGGAGAAAGATTCGATAAAAGTGATGTCAAGTCCATTTTACAACTCAATTGTAGACGCCAAAATGAATCAAAGCAGACCGCAAAATAATTGCATAATTCCAAGAATGCGGAGAAAATATGAGAAGATTACTAAAAAACCTGCGCTTTAGTTTGGTTGTCCACATGAGCACTCAGCTTATTTATTATCTGTAATAAATTACTAGCGGTTATATTCGATCACACGTTTACTAAGTAGGCTCATGACACATCAGATTTTGAGACAATTTACTGTTGAACTTATGTTTTAATTTATTAAAGCAAGCTTCTAGATTTGGGATAGCCTATAGCAGGCAACGCGGACCGATACTAATGCTTCTACAGACCTAGACAAGTACAAGTAAGTAAATATTTCATGCTAGGCATGTGGTACCCATTATACGGTAACCATCGGCCATTGAAGGTTTTTGCTTTTCGCTGTACTATATTGCACAGCTCCCCATTTAACCGTCACACACGATTTCTCAAGCATTTGGATGGGTGGACCGGGAGGCTGCATAGATCCTATTGGATCCTTAGTAGAACGTCGACGACGCTCAGGCTCACCCCACGATCAGGCAGACAGCGGGATTCGAACTCGCAACCTCACGATTGCAAAGCTGGTGCTTTAACCGACTGCTCTGCCTGGCCGTTCAGTTTTAATTTATTCAAGCTATATTTTTGCGTTCGATCGGGCTCTACAACTACGGGTGTATGACACAGTAGCGGTACTTTACTATTAATAACTGTATCTTAAGTTAAAACCATAGAACTTTACAACAGTACTGTCCGTTGTAGTAGACGTTGGGGAAAGACACAGGACGAACAGAAAGAATTTAAAGCATTACTTGAAACATGCAATATGGCCCGCAAGACAGGAGCCATACTAAATAACTCTGAATCTATCTGCAACGTAGCCATTTTTATACTTTTATAGATGGCTACGTTCCTTGCAACGCGTGATACTTTAATTGAAAAACATGATTTTATTTCTGGTGGTAATTGACTTAAGACTGGCACCGCGCTGCATGGTATGATTTTCCACGTACATAAGAGTTTGATAATAACGTACTGGCTAATCCCGGTCAAAGTAAAATAATGAAAAGAAGCTGTTAATAAAAAACTGTTTTACATAAACCCTTACCCCAATCCAAACCATAACCACAAACCCGACGAATCAGAGATAACCGAAGAGGTCACGCCAGGATGCCTCTTTTCGTTCCACTAATTTTTCCGGGGAAGGAGTATTGAGAAGCCAGGAGTGTTCCGCAGAAGCAATATTACGAGGCAATTGGATCTCATCCGACCTTTTGATCGTGAAATTCAATTTAAAGCCACCAGTCTGCAGGAGTGCAGGAGTAGGAATATATCAGTATATCTGTATTATATAAGTAGTACCAGTCCTACAGACTGGTAATCTAATTGTCCAGGTATCACAAATTCCAACTGCTCTCTACTTTATAAAAAACAACGTACTGCAATTTCAACTGCTGTTGATTCTTTCAAAGTTTCAAAGTCTGCAGGAGTGCAGGAGTAGCAATATATCAGTATATCTGTATATAAGTATTTCCAGTCCTACAGACTGGTAATCGAATTGTCCAGGTAACACAAATTCTAACTGCTCTCTACTTTATAAAAAACAACGTACTGCAATTTCAACTGCTGTTGATTCTTTCAAAGAAATTTCTAATAAAACAGTAAACTATATGCCAACAATTTAAAATGAAATCAAATAATTCGCGTTACGACTTTTGATTTTAATTGTTTGTCCTGAGAAATCGATTGGGTATTTGACCAAAACCCATAATTCACGGCTTACAAATTGTTAAAAAAATTTCGATTAATTACATTAATCACATGTTGTAAAAATCTCTTTGGGTTGCGTTCGGGTCGATACCTAGTATTTCGGGGTAAGGGTGGTAGTTAGTGAATTAGCTGAAGTTTATTGATTCTTTATTGCCGAGTTCCAGATTTCATTTGGACCGACCTAGGCAATTGCCGAGTACAGCTGCCTTCGGATAGTTCTTCTTAATTTATTACAATTGTAAATGAATAAGAAATTGCGAGTGACTGATTTCATTATCGGTATCATTTTGCATTTGCAGACGGTCAATCAAATTAATATCATTTCCTTTTGTTTGAGAAAGAGAGACACTGGCAGCGGTCCACTCTACCCATGATTATGGGTTTTGATCAATAGTGTTGTTTGATAGTCAGTTTTATCGCATCAAAAAATATCCGTCACAATAACCGAAGATACAGCCTATTAAAATGAAGCTCACACTGAACATAACGTAATAACCACAAAACCGATCAAAATGTCGCTCGCAAATCTGTGCACGTGCGCTTTTGAACACCGTTTGCAATTTGCATGGTTACTTTGCAACTTTTTGCTTTTGACATAATTTGCAGATGGGCGGTTGTATATACCTTATCGGACCTTATTTGGACGGACATTAATTGAACGCTGGAGGCCCATACGTTCATCTTAATGTCCGTTCAAATAAAGTCCGTTTATTTAAGATCCGTCAAAGTTAAAGTCCGTTGAATTTTTTTCAAACATTTTTCCACTTTGAACTTTTTGTCCACAATATGACAACTATGAGAACTTTATTTTGCCTTAAGTTAACGAAGGAAAGGTTCTCCTTGGTCTTTCAGAGGCACAGAAAACTGTACTAGTACATGAGGTTTTCAAGGTAATCGTACTGTAGTGCGACACGTACTCAAGTGCGACACGTACTCTAGTGCGAAGTCCGACAAAAACACCCTCTGTCGCACTAGGGTACGTGTCGCACTACGATCCAGGTAGCGTACTCTACTGCGACAAAATGTCCTGACTTATTTCCAAGTTCAGGTCACATCCTATCCTTCTTTTGGACCATTAAGTGATTCGTCAGGCCGGTTCACGTCACTTATTTTGAAGTGATCTTGCGAATACTATTCATCGGTTCACATCACGTGTTTCGAAGTGATCCACTGATCATAACTCCTTCGGGGCAGTTCAAGCCACGTATGCAGTGGGTGATCCACCGGGTAACTCGTTAGCAGCATATGATCCTCATTCCTATCACACGCATCGTATGAAGGTACATCTCCGATTGGGATAACAAGTTCATATGCTTGGGCCATTATATATAAGGCCACGATGATTCTACCAAAGCATCGAACTTCTTCAATCACCTTCCTTCTTTGGGATTCTACCTAGGAGCAGGATCTAACCCAATGGAAGATCAACCAGAAGATGCTCAGACAACCACCTCCTCGCCGACTCAAGAAGTGGACCTATTACGACCGCCGCTTGAACGCTGTGATTGATAGCTATAATTATGACCGAATGGATTATTTGAAGTGTGTTGGAACAATGATTTTGAATTGAATATTGTGATTGTAATCTTTGGTTTTATACCTATTTAACCCCATTACTCATACACAACTACACTCTACTGCGACAGTGTCGATCTTGGAGGTTTCGCACTTGGGTACGTGTCGCACTAGAGTACGTGTCGCACTACAGTACGTGAACCGGTTTTCAAGGGTCACTTGGCGGAAAAAGTCAACGGAATTATGGCACTCAACAACATACCTTAGTGCAAGAAATATAGGCGGCAAGAATATAAGGCGCTAGAAATTAAGGCGGCAAGAAATTAAGGCGATATTTTTTTCGGAAAAAATACGATTTTTGATCGCAAATTTGGTTATAGTTTTGGTCGAAATAGTGTCAATTTTATTCTTTTATCAGTCTATAAAGCATAGAAATCTGTTTAAAAATACGATATATTGGACATTGGTCACATAAAAACTAAATGGTGCATGCACATTATATTTATAGTGATTGCTGTTCTGTCGTCTAAGGATGAATCAGCTGATATTATCAAGAAGCTATTTCCAGACACGACGGAGCAAGATGACGACGACTATCTTGGTTATGGATTGCAGCTGCTGGAGATATATGACTCTGATGAAGAAGGAGAAGACGAGAATATTAATTGATATATTAATGTATTTAGACTCAAGTTAATTTATTTTAAATATGTATTTCATTGAATTCTAGCAAATAACGAAATCGACATGTAAATTTAAAATAATAAAATCACACGAAAATTTCTTATGAAAAAATCGCAAGAAAAAAAATTAAGGCGGTTAGAAATTACGGTGGTCAGATATTAAGGCGGCAAGAAATTAAGGCGATTTTGTCAGAATCGCCTTAATTTCTTGCCGCCTATATTTCTTGCACTAAGGTAGTTCATGAGTTAGTCCCCGCCAACATGACAAACTTTTTCCAGCCTCTAGATATTACGGTAAATCGTGTTGCCAAGGACATTGTCCGACGTTGTTATAGTTCATATTACTCAGGGGAGGTAATGAAACAGTGCTAGGAAAACTCCAAGTGATTAAGGTTCACCTTAAGTTGTCTAAGGTAAAACCACTTCACGCCGAATGGCTTGTAAAAGTTAACACTGAAATGCAGGACCGGGGTAGTTTGATAAAAAAAAAGATTTCCATAAAGCTAGAAATCACTGATGCTTTAAGCATGGACTATTTCATGCACGAAAACCCATTTGATGAAGATGATATGTGATATTAGACACTGATCATGTACACATATTTTAACATTTTTACTGCTTAACGACTGCTATTCTTACTTACTGT